TAAACATGAGCCTGAGAACAGCAGGCCTACTTCTCACGAACCACCCTTCAGAAGAGAAACTGGTAAAATTTGTTGTGTGAAGCTGTATCCTATCATTTCTTCAAAACCACACTGAGCTGATGGTTTCCTTGCTCTGGACACCGAACCCTCAGCAGCAACCGCAGTTACCATGAGAACAGAGTCCAGTGACTGGAAGTGAAGATATTTATCCAGCCGTGGAGAGGAGACTGACGACTTGATGCCTGCCTAAGGAACTCTTTGGAAAGTTGGGTGTATTTCCAGGGTACACACCCATCTCCAGAGTCCCCTGAAGCCACAGATCACAATGGGGTCATCATATCCCCCAAAACCTCCATGTCAGAGGCTCTTGAAGCTTCCACTTGTTTTGCGGACCCCCCCCCCAAGAACCTCTGCCTCCTTGTTTCCCCCTAGAGTGCACCCCATCTCTGTACACAAGTGCTGCCCGTGGTCCTCAGGATTTTCCTTTCTTGCTCAACCCCCACCAGTGACGTGTTCCTAAGAGGCCACAGGCTGGACAGCTCCCATTTGGCTCTTCAGATGCTCCATGTTTCCCCCACTGACTCTGCCCCCATCTGCCCCGGAAAAAACTCAGTGAGATGGGGTTATTTCCTATTTTAGTCCCTCCGAGGTTGCTAGAACAAAATGCCAGCGGGGGTCACTTATACAGAACAGAGATTTCTTTCTTCAACCATGGAAAATGGGAAGTCCATGATCAAGGCTTCTTGGTCTGAGGGTTAAGCAGCGTCTTCTGCTAGGGCTCTGGCCACCAGGCTGTCCCTGCCTGCACAGCAGTCTGACTTGGGGTATCCTACCAGCATTCCTCAGCTGTGCCAGGGTTGGGTCTCTGATAGCTGTGTCCTCTCACTGTGCTCTCCATGGCCTGGTGTCAGTGCCTCTCTTCCTGGAAACAGAGGTGTTATTATTTTCAAAGGGACAAATGACCCCGAGTGATATGAGCCATCCAGGATGTGCAATCTCTACTCATGTGTGTACCTGGGCACACATGCATGAGCACACACACGTCATCCCCATGACAGAAGTGATGATAAGCTTGGAGTTCTTCCCTTTCCAGACAGCCCTCCCAGAAGATAATAAACACAACACTATTTGTTGAAGGAATTCATGGGTGAAGCACAATTATGATCACATATCTCCCTTGTCAAAATGTTTCATCATCTGACTGGATCAAGAAGATGTGGCCTAGATGCCCACTGGAGTACTACTCAGCAATCAAAAAGGATAAACTCATGCCCTTCACAGCAACATTAAAGGAGCTAGAAGGGATCATGCTCAATGAAATAGCCAGAAGGAAAAAGAAAACGTACAGATGGGTTCGCTTATGGGAGGAATATAAGAGAAGCAAATAAGACATGGGGTAAAAGCCGTATTGTTACTACAATACAGAGCACAACAAAACAAAACAAAAACAAATAGATAATTAAAACCCATGGTGGAGGGATGTGGTGATGATGCGTAGGCAAACTGGGAAGTCAACATCGCCTTCAAATGATCAACAATCTAAATAGATATATAAATTAATAAAAAAAAAAGGAAAAAAAAATAATACATTTAACCTAAAAAGTGTTTTCATCATCAATCACTCCCCATGGACAAAATGGAAGCCCTTAGCATTTTTATAAACTGGCAACGGTTCACTTTCTCGTCCTGTACGGGTCACCTCGCCCTCTCCTTTGTCAAAGAGGAACTGCTGTGACGTGTGAACAATAACATGCTGGTTTTGTGGGCTGTGGCAGGAGACAAGCACACGGACATGAACACTCCAACAGACACGTAGGCCCCTGGGAGCCCGGGGGGGGCAGGAAAGCGGGGGGCTTCTCGAAACCTGTCCTTGCGGAAATCTTTGACCAGCGCAGGAGACAGGGCACAGAACCAGCCCGATAAGGATCTCAGACAACCACCACTTCCTCCCAGCCCTGATCTCCCACATATCTGAGCTAATGTCCAAAAGCCCTTAAAACCCCCCAGACCCTGGCTTGGGTGACTTCTCCAACCCCTATCCCATGAGGGTAAGTGACCCTTGCCCAATAAAGGCTCCTGTGCTGGCCACTATGAGTGCCTGGACTGTCTTTTCTGTCCCTCCTCTTTGTGTGTATCTAGAAGCCGGCAACTCCCTTCAGCGAGGGCAGGTAAAAAGCAGCATATGGGCTTTCTAGTCAGCCCAGAGCCCCTCCCTGGCAGGTGTGGAGGGGAACAGGTGGGGACTGCACAGCAGCTACAGTCCAAGTTCTAGCGTCTTCTCAGGGCTTTGTCCTGGCTCCAGTTTCTCCTACATGTGTATCTCGGTGAATCTCTTCCCGCTCTACTCCACTGAGTTTTCCCACCTGAAAAGAATAGTACACCATCCACGTGACTGGAATGAGCCACCCTGGGCGGTTCTGAGAACCACTCAGGCCCACAGCAAAGCTGTGTCAGGTCAGCGAGCTCTGTGGAGTCACCCTGAGTTGATTTAGTAAAGAAGCTGATAGAGCACCCCAACTCCTGAGTCAGTCCACCAGGTGGTAAAGCATCCCTCTGTTTCTAGCTCTGGGACTTTGAAAAGTGATAAGCCTCAAGCCTCAGGAATATTCTCTTTGCAACACTGGCTTCGTGATAAGTGTCTGCTGTGCTGCTGGCCGGACACCTGTGTCAGGGCCTGGCTGGCCGGAAGCACCCCGTGAACCCAGGGTGTGCACGACCATGAGAGACGGGGTGACTGTGGACATGAGGAGCCACGGGGAGACAGCGAGACAAGGGGAGAATGAGCTCGGGGTGTCACTCACTCCCAGCCCCCGGGGCACTGCGCAGAGCCCACCCTGATGTCCAGCTGCTACAGGCCAAACACTAACGCGGGGCCAAGGTGGGGAAGTCACTGCCCTGACAGACGTTGGGTAATTCTGTGCTGATGGGCACTTCTGCTTCTCTCTGGGAGGTTTGCACGGCCCTGCGGGAAGCTTGCGGCCACAGCCCCTTGCTGGCTTCCGACCCACCCTACTCAGCAAGTTCTTGTATCGGACCAGCCACACTGGCGTTCGGTAGGAAGCGGGGAAGGCAAGCAGAGCCGTGTTCATGGGAAGCTGTCTGCTTGGTCTGTTTCTCCTTTGGAAATATTTTGCGCTGTGTCAGATGCGCTCCCATGACACTCATGTGTGCTTTTCTCCTGTTGTGATACCAGTATGCAGCCTCCTGAGATACAAAACGTCAAAAGTCAGAACCAGGAACTGG